CCCCCAACCAACAAGACTACATCATCGGCATAGGCTACAACCTTTATCCTGAGATGATTGAATTTCATAAGTATCTCATTTATCACCAGAAGCCACAAAAGGGGGGAAAGAACTCCACCCTGAGGTGTGCCTCTGTTGACAGATTTCCTCACGGAACTCTCTCCTAGGGATGAGTTGATAATTCTGCTTTCCAGCATTCTATCAATCCATTCCGTAAGGAGTGAGGGGATACCTATGTCTACGAGAGCAGAATGGATTGCCTCTAGCTTCACATTGTTGAAAGCTCCTTCGATGTCGAGGAATGCTGCCAACGTGTAGCCAGAGCATGTTGGGATTTACTAAGTTTATTACGGTCAATGGTATCTCTAATTTCTGAGTCTAGTAACCTTTCTAAAGTTTTTAGTAGAAAGGAAGAAAGACTAATCGGTCTATAGTCTTTAGGTACCGTATGACTCGGCTTCCCGGCTTTCGGGATGAAGGTCACGGTAACCTCTTTCCATAGACTGGGTATGTACGACAAAAGTAAACAAGCCCTAAAAATGTCCTGCAGATATGATATTATCCGTTCATCTGCGTGTTGCAGCATGGCCGGTGTTATACCATCTGGACCAGGAGATTTGTAGGGTTGAAAACTATTTATCGCCCATATCATTTTTGGGTATCTTATAGTGTCTTCTATCATCTTCTCCTCTTCCCTCGTCCGAACTGTAGGCTGATGCACACACTGCGCATCTTCCCTATAGTCCTTACAACCAGGAAAGTGGGTTGATGATAGAAGATCAAGAGTCTCACTGCCAGAGTTTGTCCACGTTCCATCACTTCGCTTAATACTTCCTATGGATTTTGGATCCTTAGAGAGTACTCTGCGGAATCTGGCCGCTTCGTTGACTCCTTCGATCGACTCGCTATAGCAGACCCAAGACTCACGTTTAGCTTTCTTGATTTCGCCCTTGTACCTATTGAATTGTCTTTTATAGACATCCCAATCTGTACTGAGCTTTGTCTTACTAGCTCTATTATAAGCTTTCCTTGCAGCCTTCCGCAAGGTTGCAAGGTCCTGTGACCACCATACCGGCTGAGATTTCTTCCCAGGGTATGTCAGGGGACAAGATGCCTCATAGCTCTTCAGAAGAGTGGCCGTGACATTTTTCACAGCTAATTCAACATCCTCAACCGTTTTGAGATCATTACGATCCCGAAAAGAGGCTGCTGTTTTAGCTTTGAATTTGTCCCAGTTCGTCTTCCGAGGATTCCTATAAGGTTTCTGTTTAACTCTAGAGGTAGGAATCTGGAAGGATATGAGTCTATGATCCGAAAAGGAACATTTCTCAGACACCTCCCAGTTTACGACCCCAGAGTCGTCCATATTTGTGAGGGTTATATCGATGACTTCACCTCTCACCCTATTTACAAAAGTTGGTGTATTGCCTCTATTACAAATTCTAAGATTATAACTAAGTATAAACTCGAAGATGGACTCACCTCTTGTGTTTGTGTTGCTGCTTCCCCAATAGAAGTGATGTGCGTTGGCGTCACATCCCAAGATGAGGTCACCAACTCTGCTCATCTCCTCCAATAGGCGGCATACAACAGTGCCGGGTGGGTCAGGAGCTTCGTAGGGAAGATAGACGGCAGAGACTATCAGTGGCTTCGTGGTACCTCTGTCTAGTCTTGCTGTCGTCATATCTCCATTGCTGAAATTAGAAAGAAGCATTAAATTTAACTCCTTTTTAGCAAGAATACACGTTCTCACCTTCTCTCCATTGGAGGTAGACAAAAGCGTGTATTTGGTGTCGCCCAGTCCAGTCACCTTACCTTTGTACAGGTAAGGTTCCTGGATGAGCGCCACGTCGATGTTTGAGGAAGAAAGGGTGAGTAGCAGTTCAGCAGCTGCTGCTTTACAGTGATGCAGATTAATCTGGATCACGTTAAGCGCTTGCTGCTGCCTACCTATTGTTTTGGAGTGGTGAGACGGAAACAAAGTTTCCCCATTCCATAAACAAGCTCACCCTTGTTCTTCCTCAAGTACTCCTCTCCCGCAGAATCGGTAGCGAACTTCGCGACTACACCGCCGTTCCTTTCAAACGAGGCGAGGATTCTCCACCTCCTCGTCTGAAGGCCGTCGTTCTGCTTCTCCAATAACCTCAGTGTCTTCTCCAGCCCCTTGAAAGGTTTTGGGATAAACACCGAGGTTACCATACCGCTCGGTATCTCTCGCTACGGCCGCCAGACGACCACCCTCCCAAAGGGGGTCCAGGCTGTTGATTGTCTTCTTAAGAAAATCTGAAGTCTTCTTAGTGCGACAATCAACAACCTTTACTCCTTTGTAAGAGGAGGTCAGGCCAAACCGCAGGCTCTCTCGATCAACCTCGTCGGACAGGAAGAGGTCCTTCAGATAGCTGTCGACCAGCTCCCATCTATCCTCACTGATAAACCCGTCAGGGTCAGCTCGGTCGATGATCGCTACCCGCAGATCTTCCGGAACCTCTTTCGGATCAGCAGAGTCGCTTTGCTCAGTTGTAGGTGTCTGGGCTACCTGCTTCGAGACAGCGTGTTTGGTTTTCACCCCACAATCGCTGCTCTTGGCAGGTTTCTCCTTCGACGCTACCACCGAAGCAAAGGAAGCAGAGCTCTGTACGGCCGACGACTGCGTGGGCCTCTTTGCAGCAGGTTGTTGCTCCTCCGAGGACCTCATTCTCTTGACAGCCGTGGGCTGTGGCCGAGATTTGGCACCCGGGGTAGCAGCTACTGCAGAGGTATGCCCAGCAGACGCAGGCACCTGCTTCGCGTCCGCTACCTTCTGCTTGACCACTGACGACTGCCCAATTGTCACCGCCTTGGCTGTCAGCTTTGGCAATTCGGCAGAAGGTGGATTGACAGAGGGCGGTTGTGCCTTATCGGTCTTCTTGGAGGCCTTTTTACGGGCTCTCTTTCGGGCCGACTTCGACAGTCCCCTGCCTTCTGTCTTTGTGGATTCTGATGTCTGAGACGTCTCAGTACTCAGTTTACCCTTTGGGGGTGCTGAGGGCTTAGACGTCTCAGGCATCAGCTTCCTGGATGTACCGGGGCCATCAGCAGGTTTCTCCTTCTTAGAAGGGACTACCGCCGTGGTCTTAGTACTGGGTCGGGGGATCCTGTCAATCAAGAAGTCCCTCTCAATGTCATCAGGATAGTTCCTAGAGAACTTCCTAATGAGTTTGAGGTTCCTCTTGATTAACAGGAACTCCTTACCCGTGATGGAGTCGCTGTCCCGTCCAATGTACCGTTTGCAGAAATTTACTGCTCTCCGATACATTTTCTTGGCAGCGATCTCCTTAGCGTCAGCTTGTCTATCAGATAATGGTACCGATGAATCATCCATCTTAACGATGGGAGCCTCATCGGTGCCAGCATCTGCTTCGACAGCCAACTGCCTGAGAAGCCTCGCGACGTCACTGCAGGCCGTGGAGGTTGAGTCAACGTCTTCAAAAATTGGCTCCATAAAAAAGTGCTGTTTGTGAGGATTTGAGGTCGACCATGGCATAGCCTCTTACCATGGCAAGGACTTGGCAACTAAGCCTGAAACACTTGTTGAGGCGCCCAGGTATCAACAAGGCTCCGTTCTAATACAGTCGGTACCCTGACTGCAAACCGTGGAACGCTGATAGGCACGAGGTCGCATGACACCCCAGCGTTAGGGGGGACACTTTAAGAAGGTAGTGTCCCAAACCTTGAGATGGATATATGGGAGGGGGCGCCATTCTCGCCTCGTCGACTCAGGGATCATTGGCACTCGGTCATTTCCTCCGAGACTCTCCCCCTGAGCCCGCTGATTGTCCGCGACTGTTTATTGGTTATTAACAGTTACCCAACGAATGGTGTTGGGCTTTCCACTATCCGCAACCTGTGGACGCGTCCGATAGCATTCAGCTTTGCTCCCCGTAGGCGGACCCATTTACCTATGTACATGTCAATATACTCATAGTATACCTTTCTTACTGTTATGTCTAGAACAAAATATCCGCGAACAATTTTCACAAAAACAACTTTCCCCAAAGCTCATCGGCCCACAAGGGTTAAATAAAAAATTCAATAAAAATTGTTTAATATTTTTTTTTTATTACAATATATATAATTTGTTATTTGGTACATTTGGCTGAATAAAGGCACTATTCGTTACTGTGGATTAATTCCAACATACAAAAAAATGGATGCAAAATATAAAATACATAATACGTTACATACATATAATGGCATCAAGACTAGTAAGTAATTAAATATATTGCAATAATAATTAATACACATAAGAATAGCAATTATGGTTAATATATAGAAATTTTGATTATATTTTTTGTTGTGTTGTGGGTTTCAATAATAAATAAAATAAAAAATACGTTAGAACAATACATTTAAAAACAAAGTTTCTTTTAGAATAATACGAGTTATGTTTTTTTGTTATCAATCAATGGCCTCTGAGGGGATTTTGGTTTTAATGACTTTTTTTGTTCCGAGTCGTTTGTCATCATATAGTATAGCGGAAGCTACCGTGTAAACGTCTCTTGTTTTCTTTGTTAAAAGGAACTCCATTGGGACATTAACAGAAGCCTCAATATAAAATTAATTTGTGATTTAGTTGTTGTTTAAATACATAGGTATTTGATTAGATTTTGTTTCGTTTATGACATTAAGTTTGAACATAGATTCTAGTTATGAAAGAAAGGAAAAAAAAATTAAATATTATCCACAATATCGCAATAACTAATACGTTTAGTTTCCTCCTCAACAGTTGTTAATTCATCGGATAAATTATTGGCACATGATTCTTCTTGATTGATAAGCGATAATTGATAGGCCACCTCAAAGGCTTGTCCCAGTGTTAGTATGATTTCGGTGGCCAAATCCTAAAGAATTAAAAAATAATAGTATAATTTAAGAAAACGTTGATATGTGTTTTGTATTTTAAAAATACTTACCAAACTATCAACCATAAAGACATGACAATAGTGTGTATCCTTTTCTCTTGTTATATAGGCAAAATATCTTAAATCATCTGTATCCTGGCTAACACAATTGATATTTTCGATATCGTGGACACTTATGGTACTCTGCAGGGAGATAAAAAACGAATTTTATTTATTTATATGAAATATGGTGTACTTTTAGATGGGGGTATGTCGAACTATAAACCTCTATTTAAAAAAATATAAACCTCTATTTTCCCTATTTCGTCTTCGGACGGCTCACAGACACAATTAATAAGTACACCCACGTGATTTAAAAATTATAAAATGGTGATTTGTTAAGCCTTCGCTTAATAAAAGTGTTTATCAAATTGGGCGAAATTCTTCGTATACGGATAACCTATTAAGTCACAAATATCAACTTAGAGAAGCTGAACTCGTTTTTTTTTTAAGATTTTTTAGACTTTGTCTACGCATGATATATATATATATATATATACTAAATAGGAAGTGAACTAGTTGGAGAAGCAGTAATGACAAAAAAAAGTTATTTCCCACTAAGAATTTTAAATTAAGATGAAATAAGGGCGGAATGGTGAAAACATGGACCTATATTGAAAATTTCCTGCGAGGATGTTCACCCACTAAGAACTCAGAATTCGAAATTAAAGCCTCATCTTTATAAAATGCTGATAATACTTAAAATGATACGAACATTATATGGAGGTTATATAAAATCCTGAACCTATATTAAATATTTTCTGTAAGGGAATTCTTTATCCTTCACTAACGCGGAATTTCAAATTACACTCCCGTCATTGGAAAAGGAAAACCTAACTACAGTCCCTTCCGTAGAAAAATGTTGCTAGAATCATTTAAACACCTAAAAAACTTCTGCAAGGAAGTCCTTTGTCGTTTAAGAAAGTGGAAAGAAAAATGTCAGTCCCATCGGGTGGAAATGTATCTGAAACCTTCAAATCACGGACAAGTAAAATCCTAAACTTCCAACTATCCACCTTGAACGCATGCTAGAATTCCATAGAAAAGAACTTGAGGCACTTGACAAACGAATACCAAAGTAAGGCACAGACGGGTCCTCTCTGCCTGGGTTCCCCCACCTTCAGTGGACAAGGAACTCCTGCTGACAATGTTGGTGCTGCAAAATCCCAGCCTCACTACATCGAGCTGGACTGTTGTCAGTCTATCTCCTTGCAACGAGGATGGAGGGATGGTCGCAGTTGACCCACCGGTGGAGGCATGGGCTGGTCGTCCTGCAGATTAATCTGCATCATTGCAAGGCCGCAGCCGCCGAACTACTCTTGTATTATTGAAAATACAAACGCACAACCCGACCATTCTGCTTAGCCCTTAACACGATTCTCCGTAAAAAATCCCATTAAAATACGAAGCTTATCTTCATTAATTTCTTCTTTTTATACCCTCCACCATAGTATGAACGGGATATTAGTTTTGTTTTTCCGTTTGTAACGCATCGAATAATCATTTCCGACCCTATAAAGTATATATATTCTTGATCAGCGTAAAATTCTATTTTACGATTTAAGCATGTCCGTCAGCCTGTTGTAATCACTCTAGCGTCTAAACGAATTGAGATAGATCGCCAGAATTTTGGTACTTTGAGTTCTTATTAGGTAGCAAATCTTTTCACTAAAAATTATAAATACAGGTCCATATTACCCATATAGGGGTACCCCGTACTGTGGGGTTCTTGGGCGCGTTTTATAACTAAATTCGCTGAAATGTTGTATATTGGGTTCTTATTGGGTACCAAATTACTCCATTAAAAATTATAAATATAGGCCCACTTTTTCTGGTAGTCCCCATATAACGGCACCCCCAAATTTTCGGTGTTTTGGTGGTTCAGATCGTATTTTTCAACCCTCTGTCGTGGAAACCTTATGGATGGCATCCTAGTATATCCCTTTGATTATTGATTTTTATTTCAATATTAACTTCCTTACCTTATTTTCCGTATCAATAAATCGAACACCGGCATGTGACAGGGCTATGCCAACTTTCAAACGTGTCTGTTCGTTTGTTTCTTTTAGAATTCGCGTTGAACAGTTAATATCCTCTATTATACTGCCATCTTGGGCTTTGTACTCCATGGGAGCAGGTGTCTCTTCACGTTTTAACTTCTGTATGGATTTTCTAGTCGAGACCGTACCATGTAACTCTCGGATGACAGTAGAACCCAAATACTAGAAAAAAATCAAAATTATACGATTTTCTTATAACTCAATATCACAAGAAATTTTACTTACATAAACATCATATAGAACATAACCATATATCAATGTGTTGGCCGAATGACACCAATTCGGATTGATATCTTGTTCTTCGGGTGATATTAATAGCAAATCAGCTGGTTTTCTTATGTTTAAAGTCTTTTTACGCAATGTATTCGATAAATAATTACATTCATCATTTATAGCCTCTAATGTTGTTGTTGTGTTGGTGGTGCTGTTGTTGGCCGAGGTATTGTTGGTTTCATTATTGGCTGCGGAAACTTCATTTCCAATACTTTCAAAAATTGTATTTATCTCATCCCATACTTTTGAGGCATCAAAATCAAATTCATTTTCATTCGTGGTGATGGGATCTTTTATTTCCTTCGTTGTAATGAGATTTTCTATGGTTTTTTCTTCATTGCCGGTGGGTGTTTGAAGATTTACCGAAGACCATTTTGTGGGCATTGGTTTAACAGACTTAACCAAACTGGGAGATCTCAAACCACTTGGCAACTCTTCAATAGCTTGACTTTTTTGATTTGTTTCTTGACTCGGATCGGGGCAGGCCAAATTCAATGAAGAACCTTTAAACAAACCGGCAAAAGGTACATCACCCACAAACTCTTCAACACATTCAGATACCCTTGAACTGCTTATCGAATCAAATTGTTCTTCTTCTGGTGGCTCCATTTGTTCTTCCCATATAAAGGATTTTAGATTATTGTAGAATTGGGAATTGCGATTTTGCAATTGTAATGATTTACGTTTCCAACTTTTATCCGGTGGTGGTTTCACAAATTCGAATATTGTGGTTTCTGCTTGAAAAGCCGATGGTGGAGGACAATCGGGGGTTGGCGAGTGTACAGATCTGTCCTGACTTTGTCTTCGAGAATCGTTGTTGTTGTTCGTATCGAACTTATTGTTGCTTGTTGTAGACGTTGTCTTTGGTTGAATATCACTGAAATATTTAAAGAATAAAAAAAACATGAATTTGATTTAAAATGTAATTAAAATGTTTTAAATGAAATACTCTACCGTTTTGAAATATCTTATTTTATGGAAATAAGAAAATGCATTTTTGTTCTTTAATTGATATCCTTCTTTTAGCAAGGATACAAATTTGTATTCTAACAAGGGTGGCTTAAACTTTATATCACAATATGTTGTTTAGGTTATTTGTGTTAACATGCTTATTAAAAATTATTTCACTTTCATTGTCAAAAAATTTAGTACAAAATACTAATTTTAAAATAAATTAAAGAGATTTCTTTCTTTATCACTAACACAAAGGAGAGGCGTTGTTTAACATCTACAGCTGCCACAAAAATGTGTTAGGATTTATAAATGGCGCACGTGCTATCCTATCCTGTGCGTCATATCCTTTTGTTCATGCTGAACAAAGAACAATGATGCCAGATCGTATATACAAAATTCATATTTTTGTTTTGGGTGGGACATATTTTTATCTGCAGTTGTCGTATGCAGTTTCTACCTGTTCAGGTACATAGATGATTATGATAAAAATTATAACTATTTCTATTTTTTGGGAAAATCCATGGTTGGGAGGATGTGTTGTAGTTGTAATATTTACTTATTCAAAAAATGCGGTTATGTACAGTTATTATTGTTATTTTAAATGTTGTTTTCTATTGGAAAATAAATGAAATAAAACAAACAAATATTAAGATATTTTGAGACAGGGACGGATATATCGACGCCTCCGAATGGTATGCTAAGTCGATTTAGCATGTTTTAAAGTTCTTCACGTTTTTAGATACTACGGTCCTTATTTAAATTCACTGGAATTTTGGTAATCATCGGCCAATCCAAACCAAAGTTATAAGCAAAAATGTACTTAGCATGGCACGTACGATTAAAGAAACTTCCGTACTTTGAAAGCTTCTACTAAAAAACTCACTTTTCAGACTTAGCATACTATGGTTCGGAGGCGTCGATATGATTAATCTAAAATGTGTCAAAATAAAGTCGGGATTATACACAACATTTTGATAGAAATGTGTTTATTCACCAAGGCATTTTAAAAATATGCCTTAGATACTTAGACTTTAAAATACGACAGACAAGTTGGTTTGGAACAAAATATCTCTGCATAAAAAAGAAGAACATAAATTGACAAAATGTTATTGTTGTTCTTTTTTGTCATTAAAGAAGAGTCCTTCTTTTCGATGGCGTGCATCGATCGAAAATCTACATATGTGGCTCTGGTATGAATTAGGATTAGCAAAATAGGAAAGTCGAAAGTTTTTTGTTGGAAAGTCGCATATTTTCGACCAAAAACTTTGGTGGAAATTAGGGGAGATCTTCATCGATTAGATTTATCGTAGTTCATAATAGTTTTAAAGTTTTCAAGCCCGACAATGGTAAAAACACTCAAGCCCGACAATGGTAAAAACACTGTTTTGAGAAAAACGCGTTCAATGTTTGAAAAGTATTCTTACAGCCGCTTGATGCTGACACAATAAATCGGCTATATCTTCCAGAGTTGTTGAGATTTTCATTTGAAATTTTAATGAGACATTCTTAAGAAGCTGGGTATACACATGCAACTTTTGTAAGCAGATTTGCTGAGTTCTTAGAAGAGAGAGGTAAAAAAATTGACAAGGGGAAGAAATTCAAAAGAGATTCGTAGAGAGCAGCAGCAGAGTTGCTTAAAAAAAGTTGTATGTATAAACCCAGACTTACGTTTTTTTTTCGACAAAACGTTCCGAATTTTTTGGCACCTTCACACAATTTTGTTTCGAGTTTCGTTCCAAATTCGGAAAAAACTAGGAACAAATTGTTAGCGGGGCTGATATCTCAGCAATCATGAATGCGGTTAAAATTGTAGAAGACATTAATGTAAATTACCTAGGGCCGATGACTATATATGTTGATAGCCAGGGATTGAAGTTACGTATAAATTTAAATGCGGTATATGACTGTAATATTGCTCTATATGACTTACGACTAGTCGTTAAATTTTTGTTGGGTTCCAGGACATAGAGAGGAGAGATAACAGTCACTTTATCTGTAGATTGAGGAATCAGTAAGACCATCTATGGGCTATTACTTTGGCAAAATCCGTAAGGTCTACTGCGAGAAAGCTGTCAACAGACAGGTCTACGTGAACGAAATGCATCTGGCCAGAGGATTCACGAAGTATGATTACTTCATGCGTTCACTGCAGTAATGTAAGGTCTATCCGATTCAATTGGGACATCACTACTGCCATTTATGTGAGGATGAGGAAGAATTAAAAATGAGCAACTAATATGTAGATGTCCAGCTCTTCGTAGCAAAACGATTCGACTGTTTGGTTGATATACGACTGATACTCTAAGATTATTCTCCATAATAAATCCCATTAAAATCGTAGACTCTATATCTTCTCTTTTTCAGGCACTCAAGATAAACCCAATTGACCGAAGGACCGCCAGTGACAGCAGCTGTTAAATTATTGGTGGCTCAACATCGTAACATTTAGTAAAACTTATTTTAATAATAAAGCAGAACTAATAATGCAAGCCCCAGCGTTAGTAATAGATTAAAGTTATTATATTTAATGATTTTCTACTTCTACATATCCTCTACTATATACACATACCAAATAATATCGATTAAAAAAAATCACATCATTTTAACAAGTTCTTTGCTTTATGAGATTTCTAATTACTTCATCACAACTTACTTGTTATTACAATCAGCTTCATCATCTTGCTCATTGTCTTGGCGCCGTCGATTATTATTTTGAGCATTATCCATAATAACACTAATATTTGCATAATCGCAATATTCAAGATTTTTTCTAGGACTTGGTAACGGTATTTGTGGTTGGTGATCTATACCAACTGGCGTTCGGGGTGTATTACCGGCACTTCCACCGGGCAATTTCATTTCAACATATTCATCTACACAATAATATTGTGTGGAATTGACGGCCGGCATCTTTTCTTCCTCCTCTATATTTAAATCAAAAGTGATGTCATATTTCGAAAGTGTGGTAAAAACTTCATGTAAATACCTACTTTTTCTATACGTTTCTAATTTGGGAAATATTTTTTCGGTGTTGAGTGTACCCAAACGACGATTTAGAAGATTTGTGGCATAGACCGGTTTATATTCTAGTATAGTTTCTGGAGTTGAACGATTACTCTTTGGTATTGTTGTTTTTGGATTTAGTATTGGTTCCATTGGTGTATAACGATCGATGGATATTTGACGTTCCATAGAACTTTTTTTAAAGAAATAAATTTTGTTATACACTTGATGTAACCACACAAATTAGATATTTAACATTAGACACATACACAAAAAAAGTGAAAGTTTATTTCAGCACTGGCATTTGAAAAGAAGGTATTTGGACAGGATAGACAGACAGATCATGGAGCAGTAGACACAATGATGTAATTTTGAAGACAAACATAAAAATCATGAGTACGAGAAAAAAAATCAAAATTTCACATCTTTTGTTTTTGTAAAAATTAATTGTATTACTCACTAAAAATTATTGTTAACAAATATGCCTAATAAGCTATTGAAATGCATAAATTTTATTGCCGGAGAAATTTGTTAAAATTTTATTTTTTATGGTCGCTGGCGCATTTGGCATACTTTTATATGTCTGAAGAAACTTTGCTATTCAGGCTCAATTCAGTACGCTGTGCCAAATTTCGTGCAAATCGATGGATATATAGGAACTTTGGTGTACCATTTACATTAAATCGGACGAAAATATATATGGGAGCTATATAGAAATCTAAACCAATTTTTCCCAATTTCAATAGGGTTCGTCCTTGGGCCAAATAGATGAGCTGTGCCAAATTTCATCCAATTCGGATCATAAATACAACCTGTACTTTGTTTACAATTTAACATGGACAGACAGGCGGACGGACGGACATGCATAAATCGACTCAGAAAGTAATACTTTGCATATTCTCAAAAGGAACCATGTGTCTATCTCGTTTTCATTTCTTTTGCCTGTTACATATGCACAAAGACCACAATTGTGCCACAATTTCGAGACCTAAGGGGGTAATAAAAAATTCAAAGAGTAGTTTTGAAGCTCAGGAAGTTTTTTATCAACTAGCTTAAACTTGGGGATTTTTTATAAACGAGCCGAAGCTCAGAGGGTCGTTTTAGACGAGCTGAGACTCGGAGAGACTTTATAGACGAAATGAAACTAAGGAATATTTATAGACGGTCTGAAGCTCAGGATGTTTCAAAGGATGAGATGGAGATAAGGGAGTCTTTATCTGAAGTTCAGTGAGTCTTTATGGACGAGCTGAAGCTCAGGGAGTCTTTATAGACGAGATAAAGGTAGCTGCTAACTGATAAGATAAGGGGTATCCATAGACTAGCTGAAGGAAGTCTTTATAAACGACTTCTGGGAGTCTTTATAGACGAGCTGAAGTCAGTTATTCTTTATTGATTGTTGGAAAAGATGACTTAAAGGAAGTCGTTCATAGAAGAGCTGAGGAATTATCCTCAATGACTGAATACAGTTTTTCATAAAAGATCTGAAAGGAGTCTTTCATAGACGAGTTGAAGGGAATTTTTCATAGCTGAGCTGAAAGCAGTCTTTCATAGACGAACTGAAGGGAGTCTTTCATACACGAGTTGAAGGGAGTCTTTAATAGACGAGCTGAAGGAAATTTTTCTATTTTTACAACACTCAAAGGTGACGTCATCAAACACCACAATTGTTGGAACTTACAAAACCGTTATCAAAATACTTAACTTTTTTCTGTTTGTACCGCGTTTTATGTGCTAGGCTAAGAACCTTCAAAACTGCCCTCGTACTTGGAAGTGGAAAAACTTTATTAGGACAATTTAAAGTAAGGTGTTCAGCTTATCTGCAGATGTTTTCTGATAACCAAAAAGTAGAAATCATTTATGTGAGTGCATATCATTGGTCGTGATATAAAATATAGTGTAATTCAGTCGAAACATCTTCTAGGCAAATGGTCCCTGATTGTCACATAGTAACAATCTATACTAATAAAAGTGTAAACTGACTGACTGACATAACGATTCAGCAAAGTCCAGACGAAACGGCTGAAGCTAGAATCTTGAAATTTTGGGTGAGGATCACTATTGATCCAAATGTGACAGATATGGCTGGGAAAAGTACGAAAAGTACTATATGGTACTATATTTGGTGCAAATGTATTTTGGAGGTACAAATCAAGCTGGAATCCTGAAATTTGAAATAACCATTACCGTCGGAGTGTAGGAATGGGATATGTACGTAGTTTTGGAAATTTTTTACTGATGTGTACGAAAAGTACTAACACGTACTAACACGTACTATAATTGCTACAATTTGGATTTGGATGAACCGATAGAGCGGAAACAATGAAATTTGGAGTCAGGATCACTGTAGAGGCGTAGGATTGGGGTCAGGATTCAGTTTAAGCAATTTATATTCATGGGTATTAAATTTGGTACAATTTGAATTTTAGGCGAACCAATAGAGCTAGAGTCATGAAATTTGGAGTCATGATCACTGTTGAGGTGTATGATCGAGATATATAGGAAGTTTTAAAACATTATACTTATGTGTACTAAATTTGGTACAATTTGAATTGTTGGTAAACCGATAGAATAAGAATCCTGGAACTTGGATTTAGGATCATTGTGGAGGTGTAGGTTTGGGTTAAGTAGGAAGTTTTTTAAATTCGTACTACTGTGTACTAAATTTGGTACAATTTGAATTGTGGGTGAACCAATAGAATTGTAATCCTGAAACTTGGATTTAAGATCACTGTGGGGGTATAGGTTTGGGTTAAATAGGAAGTTTTGGAAATTCGTATTATTGTGTACAAAATTTGGTAGAATTTAAAATGTGGGTGAACCATAAACTTGAAATCCTGAAATTTGAATTTGGAATCATTGTGAGGGTGTAGGATCGGGGTATGCAGGAAGTTTCGTATTAACATGTATTTTAATACATGCTTAAATATATCCCACATTCGCTAACGAAGTAGATTTGATATTCATCTGAAGAAAGTCTTCCTAATGTATGAAATAAAAAACGAAATCATTTCTGAAATATACAGCTTTATTTAAAACCCAGAACAGTAGAATCGGGCAAAACTCTACACACCTACAACTAGACGTTAATTTTCTTTTTTATATTATCTTTTAATATTTTTTACACAAATTTGACCCGCTAATTTTAACAAAGAGCGATCTAGTCGAGGTGGGTCTAGGAGCAATATGTCGTGTAGGTACAAACTATTGGGGTCACACAAAGTAATATCGATGAAGAAGGTATCGTGTACTCATTTTCTGAATATTGGGAAAATTTGGGATTAACCGAATTTTACTTTATTTAGAAAGTACTACATCCATGTTTATAGTTTTTAAACAAATGTAATTAATTTGTTGGTTTTAACCCTGAATTCCGATAATTTAAAATTATTCTCAGACTATGTTTTATCGCATTACATTTCCCCCCATTCATTATTTAGTCCTAATCTTAAACGCAGTTCCTTTGAGAATTGTTTTAATTGAAAGTTTTTTGTTCATAACACATAAAGCAAATTAGTCTAAATTACCCTTTTTAATACACATCGATCGAAATTTTAAAGAGATACAAAAAAAATAAACGTTTTTAATTAATGATATATAAATATGCATGTTGATGTATTTTAAAAATAACAAATGATTATTATTACATGTATTCAGTTGAACGAAAAAAAACAAATATCACATTAATGTTAGTGTATAATTTGTAATTAGTAATGCATGTATGAGATCATCACCTATAAACTAGAATATAAAATATAACATTTAAAACAAACAACATCATGTATCACATTCATATCCAGGAATGTATAAACAAACATTTTTTTGTTTTCCTATATATAAGCAATAATATCCATAACAATAGAGAATAGGAATGGGGTTTTTTATTTTATTTTGTGGTGCATTGTGTAACGTGGGTGTATGGATGGTTGGTGGTGGTGGTGGTTGTGGTCGCTAGAGGTGCATAACACTGATGATGATATGGTGCATAAAGACATGAAGATGGATATTGAAAAATAAAAAAAAAAACAGAAGTGCATTAGGCGCGAGCAAACACACACATACACAAAAACAAGAAGAAAACACATAAATTACATTATAATGGGTATAACATTCAAGTCATTCTTACTTCTTTGCCATTGAATGTGGAGGTTCTACAGAATTCGGATGATGATGGAAATTCCGTTGCTCCATTATTTTGTTTTCTTCACATCTTGCATCATCCTCATAATTCGATAATGTTGTATTGTCATTTACATCTTTAATTGGCATGAAATGGGTTTTATTTTCCATGTTACTGCTGTCTTGGCAAAAATCTGTAAGAAATGTACATACATATCTAATTAATGAGTCATAGAGATAAAAAAAAAACAATGCAATAAGATTTTTTTAAAGAAAATAAGCTAAACAACAATACAGACAGGTCACTGAACGTTCTTATGTATGGCAAATTACTGGATGATGATGATGCCGCTATATTCTACTGTGCCTCCTACACACTTGACCACTAATAGCAATGCTGCATGTATGTCATAATATTGTTGTATCTGTTCATAATCAAATAGCTTAATAGCAAGTAAACAAAGCAAAATGGGTAAAACAAACGATGATTTGTTTAAATTTCAAAATTATGTTTGTATAGTTGTTTATTTGAAAACGTATTCATGAGAAAATCTAACAATGTAATTATTTTTTAGAAAATCTACAACTATTTACAATTATGGTTTATTTAGAGCGCGTGGAGAATTGGAACGTAAAATATAATACAACATTGTGCTAAATAAATTTTAATGTAATATTTAATCTAGGGATAGAATAACTATACATAATTCTTGTTTTGATACTGAATCAGTTCCTTTTGGCGGATCGGAAAAAAATCGAATATCCCTCAATTTTGAGTATTTTGGAAATATATCATCAAATGTGGCAGCAATTTATTATTTCTGATACCCTGTGGGACCGATGTCGAAATTGTATAGTTCCATGTTGATTTGAAAATTAAAATTGCCTATGCGGATGCATAACACCGGCTATGTAGAATTTAAAGATTTTACTTGTTTTCATAACTTTCACCACACTGTGGTACAGGGTATTATGTCGTTGTGCATATGTTTGGTTCGTTTTGAGAATATGCATAGAATCACTTTCTGAGTCGATTTATGCATGTCCGTGTGCTAAGTTTCGTGAAAATCGGTTCAGATGTAGATATAGCTCCCGTATATAGTTTCGTCCGATTTAAGGTAAAAGGGACACCAAAGTTCCTATATATCTTTCGATGTGTACGAAATTTGGCGTAGGGTACTGAATTAGGTCCAGAATGATGTGTGCTAACCTTTGTGAAAAACGGTTCAGATTTAGATATAGCTCCCATATATATTTTAGTCCGATTTTATGCAAATGGTGCACCAAAGTCCCTATATATCTTTTGATTTGCACGAACTTTTGCATAGTGCACTGAGTTGAGTCTAGAATGATGTGTGTCAAGTTTCGAGAAAATCGGGTCAGATTTAGATATAGCTCCCATATATATTTTGTGTAGGGATTGATGACAGTCGCTTTACATATAGATAAAGATCGCATATTTAAGTTCGTTCAATTTCACGTCAATGTTCCTTCGAAAAGGCGACGTCTGTTAGGATACATATGAGGAATATACCCAAAGTGGTGAAGGGTATCTCATAGTCGGCCCAGTCCGACTTTACTACTTTTCTTATTGGTTATTAAATTTAATGTCAATAATTTAATAAGCTAATATTGCATATAAACTATTTATTATTAATATTTTAAATAAAATTAAATCTCGTACAAAATTGCAAACTAATACCATTTTTTCAACTTACCCTTAATTATCGAAACAATTTCATAAGTGACATGCGGTGGGTAATCAACTAGAATATCCAATGCCGTTCGGCCATTACCATCAACAGCATATGGATCGATACCGGCTCGTAATAATGTACAAACCACCGATTTTTTACCACACAATGCCGCTTCGTGCAGTGCCGAACCGGAATTTGTCAAAATATTTACATCAACACCGGCTGCCAGTAGTGTTTCGACAACTTTTTTATGACCATTACGTGCCGCCAAATGTAAACATGAATGTGTATAAATATGTTTGGTTGGTGTTATCGTATACGGTGGTGAATGACCATTCTCCAAAGCCACCATTTCGTCGTACACACGAAATGGTTCAATTAATTCAGGATGTGTTCGTATCAGTAATTGTACCACTTGTAATCGTCCGAATTGTGATGCCAAATCTAATGCAGTTTGAAAACTATTATTACGTATTGTTGGATCAGCACCATAGGCTAAGAGTATTGCAACAACAGCATTGTGACCATGCTCGGCAGCACAATGCAGTGGTGTTTCATTTTGTGAATTTTGTGCATTGGGATTTGCCGGTCGGCGGGGATGCATTAATAGCATTTTTACAATATCTGGTTTATTTGCCCATGATGCCAAATAAAGTGGCGTTGAACCACGTATATCTGGTATATCGGTGGCAGCATCGCTAGCCAATAGGAGGCGTACAATTTCTTCGTGACCATTTAGGCAGGCATGATGTAGCGGGGTGTAACCATTCATATCCTGTGCATTTATACTGGGACTGCGTCGAAAACTGAAAAACAGAAACAAAAATCGGGTGGGTTTATGAAAATCAATAGGAAAGGTATTAGAATGTGATCGAGTCAACAATTTGGTAAACTGCTCCAATTTAGAATCCATATTCCTCATGTAAAGATCTAGGCTTTACTCTAATTTAGTAAAAACGATCAGATTTTTCTGAAATTTTTTCCAGAGGTAGGTATTTTTACCCTAATAAAGGGGATATCTTTTTTTCTAGGAGGACGTAGCCGGTTATTTGACCCGGAAGTTCGGGTACGGGTACCCGGTTATATCCGGTTCTATGGATCCAGTTAATATCATCATTTTAAAGGTCATAAAAATACCTTTCCATTGGAGATATGATGGGTTTATCTCATACTGTTTTGAAGATACAGTCCAAAAACTGGGTTTTGAAAAACGTCCTAAATGTCGAACTTGGGTCCTGACTCAATTGATAGACCAATTTTCCCTTTCCAAAATGGTCCGATAAGTGGCTGTATCTGTTGTGGATCAAAAGAAATGGGCCTTAGAACACTAAAAAACAAGGAAATTCTGTCGCGTAGGCGGTGTTGGTATCTGTCCATATCAGAAAGTCTTAAATCCCCGTCCGAAGGCCGTCTACACAAAAAATACTATTTAAAAGTAGTTTCTGTCGCGTAGCCGGTGTTGGTATCTGTTGGTATCCATAGGAGAAAGTCTTAAATTCCCGGGCGAAAGGCATTCAACCAAAAAGCTATTCTATTTAACAAGAGATTCTGTCGCGATGTTGGTATATGTCCATAGGAGAGAGTCTTAAATTCAGAAAAATCTAATCGTTTTTACTAAACTAGAGTTGTTCCATGGTACAATTATAAAAGGTAACAGCAAATCCCAGCTGATTTGATTCCAATGTAATACTAGTGTCGATATGAATTTGACAAATTATGTTTTTAAAAATCACCCAACAGGAAAATTAGGAACGCATACAATTTGAAATTGTTCTTTATTAATGTGCTCCCGTATTCAATTTACTCAATTTGCCTGCTGGGAAAGTTTGAGGAAGCAAATCTTTCTTGAAGGAATAACTCGCTATTCCCAGCATTTTCATACGTGTTACGCATATATATGGCAATGGCTCAATTAAAGGAAAGATGTGGAAGCGATAGAAATATAAATTTGATAGATTTTCATTCATGTTTTTCAATTTTTATTTTGAGGATTCGAAAATATTTCATTTTCAAAATAAAAATAATTTGATGATAATTTGTTTGTTTCTTTGTTTACATTTTTCTGTAAACATGAGTTGACACTAGTAGAACTTACAACAACAAATTTCCATGTGGTTGTTGTATCGTTTTTTGTACAACAACACTTGCTGTTACCTTTTATTATTATACCATGGAGTTGTTCCAAGATCTATGAATGGTCTTAGATCTATTCTCCAAACAGAGTAGTTGTAATTTGACATTTCGTTTTTTTATGGGTTAATACAATGACATAGCCTCTCGACTTCTTTCCCCAGTTCTTTGTATAAATAAAATCTTTGAAGAAAATGTTCAATATTGGTATAGCTTTGACATAGCCCTGCAATTTAACATTCCGTATTCATGGTGGATAAAAATCCGCTTTCAAAAAATTTCATATTTTATAAAGTTACCCAATAAAAAAATTCCGACAATTTTAGGCGTGATCCCAGGCCCTCCTCATGAAATTTCGGATTTACCGAACATAATGGGCCCCCAAAATTCCATATAGAACAATATATTTCCCATTAGTTTTAAAATGACAATATAGTGATGAGAGTCTGACGAAGATTCGGTTGTGTTGCTAGCATGTGCCGGAACAAATCCTAAATATTCGCCAAAAATCATAGAAACAAGAAATTTTATTATTTGGAAGGAAATTTTTGACTGTTAACAAATGGGGCCAATCGAAATTTTCAAAAAGATCCGCGGCGGGTCGCTTTCCTTACACTATTTATAAGTGTCGATCAAACAAAAAATATTTATATCGGAGGGTTTAAATCTAAAATCCATCGGCCATTTAAAAATAACAATGGACCAATCCTCTTAACCATTCTGGAAAAGGGTATACGGTGTTGTTTTTGGTATAAATATCATCACAGCTATTTGAAGTTCGAATTCTGTCAATTTACCAAAATATTTTTATTTTCCATATATGATCACCAAATCAGGGTTAAAAATGAAAGTATTTCGCTTACCTAGAAAGTGGACCTCCTTTTTTGGCATAATGCTCCAGAATTTTGGCAACAACACTAATATTGCCAGTTCTTGCTGCATCCAATAAATCCTGAGATCTTCCCATGATTATTGTAGTGCGATTGTGAAATACATTAATATTAAAAAATTAGCTTCAA